ACAGACACACAGACACACAGACAGACAGACAGACAGACAAAGTTTTTTCCGACCAGACGGAGTAATAGGCTTCGCTAATCGCTCAGCCAATAATAGTCCATCGATATCCGAAATCAGTTTCAAAAATTAAATCATCGTTCACAAGAAGAGATCATGTTATATCAGCGACACGTGAAGACACAAGTCACATGGGGAGTGCGCACGTGGGCGTACTTCTCAGTGACGAGGTGACGGGGCCGTACTGAACAAGACGTCGTTGCGGAGACCTCCCGAGCGTTAGAATTTAACAGATTATTTGGGGGATATGGTTCACTTTTTCGGCAAACGCCGATCATTGTCGGGTAGGGTGATTCCTTCTAAAACATACTGCGTAGAATTAACTGCCATTACCTGAAGGGAGTTTTAATTTAATAGAAAAAACTGATTTTGTGGGAGATGCGCTGACTGAACGCCATCTAGCGGCAGTCAATCGCGGGCTTCGCGTCGTGGTGGCCGAGGTTAAAGAAAGGAGGTGATTGCTGTGGGGTGGTGGTGTGGCGTCAGTGTAGTAGTAGTCCGAACCCACGTCTCCTTCCACGACGCTCTGGCAGTCACGAATTTGAGGGAAATTTGCAGCCGCCGCAAGGAGATTTGCAGGCAGTGGGATGCGAAAGTACACTTTTCTGCCCACGGCCACGGGATTCCCTCGTCGGGTTGGGGAAATTTGCAAACGGTGGGTGCCGAACGGACCCTTTCTAGCCCACGTCGGGAAATTTGCAGTCAATGAAGTCAGTAAATTCACTTGCGTGGGCAGGAAAGGATTCTTTCACAGCGCAAGTGGCATGCAAAGGCTACTTTCCATTCCAGTAGGTAAATTCCCAACCCATGTACTGCAAATCCCGAACCTTTGTACATGAAATTTCCCCACCCAGTAGCTAGTAAAATTACTAATATTTTTTACAGTGATGTTAAATGAGGTTAGATTGAGGTTATAGGAAAGTGCTTTGTTTATTTCAGATTCTGAAATGGATGAAAACATTGACTTTGATGCTGATGATCCAGTTGTTACTCTTAATGATGAAAGTGGAGACGAAGAGCAACGGACGCCTAGAAAAGGGAGCAGAGATAACACACCAGAAAAAACGAAAAGAAGAAGAGGCGATTCTAACAAGAAAACGGAGCACAGAGATCAGACGTTTCGTGTGGAGTGGCTAAATAACCCTCTGTTCAAGAACTGGCTCGAATCTGTGAAAGGAAAGCCGAAGCGGGCTTTCTGCCGTTGCTGCCAGATGGAACTGAACGCTGAAATAACCATTTTGAAAAGGCACGGGGGAAATAAAACCCATGCTAAAAATAGCAAAGCGATAGGTGCTGGTTCGGGCCAGAAGACAATCCTTCAGTGTGTTGGTGCTGACACGGCTGCAGTCAAGCTCCAAAAAAGCATCAAAGAGGCAGAGATAAGAAAATGCGCTTTTTTGGCTGCTAACAACATTGCTATCCGGGCCGTGGAGCCTATGGTGGCTACAGACAAGAAGTGCTATCCCGACTCGAAGATAGCCCAAGGCATGCAGCTGGGGCGCACCAAGACCACTAAAGTTATCACCAATGTAATTGCAAAATGCCACCAGAACGACCTTGCCGATACGTTAAAGCAGACCAAATTTAGTGTCATAATTGACGAGTCTACCGACATTGGAACCATCAAGAGCATGGCGGTGTGTGTGCGCTTCCACGAGGGGGTAAAAGTGATCACCAAGTTTTGGAAGCTAGTACAAGTGTTTTCCGAGAAAAATCCCGACGAGGCGAATGAGGGGGCCACAGCGCGGCGGCTTTTCGACCTCCTCATGAAGTCTTTCACTGATGAAGGTGTCCCGCTGGTGAACTTGATTGGCTTCGCTAGTGACGGCTGCAACACCATGTTCGGGTCAAATAATTCTGTTGCTCAGAGATTGCAGGAGACGTTCCCGGGAATAACTGTTCTGAAGTGCCTCTGTCATTCCCTACATCTTGTTGCAAGTGAAGCCTGTAAGGAACTTCCCCGGAAGATAGAGGATCTGGCAAGAAATATCTATGGAATGTTTAAGAGTAGCGCCAAGCGCCAAGCTGCATTTGCTGAGTTCCAGGCTTTTTACGAGGCGGAACCACACAAAATTTTGCGCCCTGCGCAAACTCGTTGGCTGTCTCTGCAATCTGTGGTGAACAGAATCCTTGAACAGTGGGAACCTCTGAAGGGCTATTTTACTTTTCAAGCAACTGAGAAAAACCTCGTGGCCGCCGATAATATTGTTATGTGGATGGGTGATCCCAC